AGCTTGACTTTTGTATGTTGACCTATTGCTGAGGACTCTAAAAGCAGATCTAGCCGAGTCACTATCCGAAAAAGGCAACAAAAAGCGCATACACAAAATGAGGCTTAATCTAGAAAATTATTTCTTAGGATCTTGACACGCCTCAGCGCAATTGAGCACCGTAAAACTTCGGACGAAATTTCGATAAGTCGTAGATTTGTGTCATTGTCATATTCAAAAACAGTCTTCTTCTTGGTTTTACTAACTACGTAATGATTTTATCTAATGCTTTTCAAGTTTACTCGTACTATACGAAAAGGTCTCCATCTCTTTCCGGGGTGATTTCGGTGGGTCAACCTCGTGCCAAAATAATACGGGTTCGCGAGATTGCCGTTTTCATTCGGGTAAATTATTAATAATAATAATATAAATTAAACAGGATAAATTATAATAAATTAACTGATTCTAATAAGAATTTGCCAGATGTTCACAAGTACATATTTTCGTTCTTTGCGTGATCATTTAATCATGATGCTGAAAATGGGGCCGATTCTCTCTCGATTTCTGTGATCTAAAGATCGACGAGGGAGTGTTAGACATATATGAGTGAAAAAATGATGTGACGCCACTCAAGCGCATCCAATTCCGAAACAATGTCGCCGAGCGTTATGAAGATTTGATTCGAGTGTTTACTTTCCAACAGGTGAATACCGCGCAACGAAGCGACAAATTAGTCATTATTTAACCAACTATACTCCCTCGATCTGATGCTAATTAGAAATAGATTTTATTTTATACACTAATCTTTGCGTTGGAGATATTACGAACCGGAAGTACATTGCGCAGTATTGACCACATCAGGACGTGTTTCCTTTTACTGCTTTTCGGTTACCTGCGCTATTGTCTTTTTCATGAGAAGACTTCATGAACGCCAAATAATTTCCCTGCGAGCGATGTTGGCTACTTTAGCGAGCTTAGTATTGGCGGCAGCGTGGTGATTCGTAGAAATTTACGAGTTCAGCTTCATTGGATGGAGTAGTTGATGTCTTCGATTGGCCATATGAACCTGTTCCAGCTAGCGATTCCTGCCACACATGACTTAGGCACTTACAAAAGGCATAGAGGTCAGAACGTTATGAATAGGTATCGCGATTGTCCAGAAGAGGATGTCTTTACGCAGCTTCTTTACGGCGTCCGGTCATTCGACGTCCTGTTACGATATGACAGCAGTACTCAAAGAGTAGTTTAACTGTTTTCATAACTAATTACATAGCCTTTCGCATAAGCCGCATTTGCGTTTTATACTTATACCTAATGTTACTCCGTTTTTGTTCTCACATACAGCGGCCTTGAATATTGGATTTACCGTTATGTTTTTCCCACCAACAATCGCATAGACACAATCCTCACAGATATTCGTCATTTTCTAGACATTTTCATAAACGAGGTGATTTTCACAAATAGCTTCAAAAATCGATGGTCTCATCAAACTCGTAAATGATTTACTTGGTGGATAAACAAGCCATTTTAAATAGTAATGACGTAGAAATATAAAAATCAATGATTAACGCAATCAACCATTAGCAGTCATCTAATTTTGTTGTAGACATACATACCGTACGCCTTTCTAGAAACCTGATTTTTAGACTTTGCGTTAATAGCTTCAGATATACTATACAATCTTCATGTTATAGTTAACCCGTGGATTTAACTTTTTTTTTTTTATAATTTATTGGCATAGAAAACGAGACTGCCATTATTACTTCATGTTTGGCCTTTTGCTTTTTCTTGATAAACTTTAAAACTTCATATTTAGAGTAAAGTTATTAAGCATATCGTCAAACTGGAACCTTCGTCTCGGTGGAATGTGTACATCAGTAAAGGTGTTCAGCCGCAATAGAAGCAACCACATCTTCAAATTGAGTTAACTTGCAATCCGGCGGCATCTATCATTTGCTTCAATTTTAGGTGGACGCTTGTTTCCCTCGGGTGGCTCGAACCCGATGTACGAACGGCTAGACGATGTAGCGAAATCCAAACCTATGAGAAAGATAGGAGAGTTAAGTGTTTCCCTGGAATACGTCACATCTAGGCTAACAGTGATTGAATCAGCACCCTGCAGATATTTGCTAACAAACACAGATTCTTCGGACAGCTCATGGTGGAATGCTTCACTTCTGAACTACACAAAGCGTAATATAAACAGTATACGACTGCTTCATGCTTAGAATACTTTGTTTTTTCATGGGCTTGCCCATATTCATGTATTCTTCGTGCTGTTGCTAGTATTAGGCTTAATATAAATTGCTAGGTTAGCGAAAACTGAATCTTCCTGAGCGCAACTTCTTCTACCGGGAAACAGAGGTCTGCTATGTCTAGCAGTACTGTAGTATAGTCGGAAACTGATTTGGCGAATTTTTACACTACGATTACCTTGATTCGCAGTTATAAAATGTATGCTTCAAATTATTTTTCTGAATTTCAAACTTGCTTGGGCCTTTTCAGGATTTTATCAAACGCAGTCAGTCTGAGTGGAAATGCAACGGTGTTTTAATGCGATGTCTGAGATCATGCTGCAGGGTGTATGGAACAGTATCGTTGACAAATACCGAGGAGGTGCCCGGGGAATCGCGCATCGCGACAACCTTCAAATCGCCGGATGGTATAAAATAGTTTAACTTTGCTAATCGATGCTCTCAGGACTAATTTGCTTACAGATCCTCTTTTTGTATGACCAATGCAAATGTCAATAATATAATTCTGACTAACATATTCCCAGCATAGTTATTCTGTTACTGCCATTTCCTGAACAACGTGTTCCCTTGTTGTCAGTTTTCTCTCGTCGTTCTGAATACGAGGATACCTAAACGACAGCCGTTGAGGCTTCAATACATGACCAAATAAAGATCACTTGTTCGCGACTAAGTGCTCTAACTGCAATAACTATAGGTATATATTTACTTTAATAATTTCGCCTTAATTAGGTACCGCTATGAGCCCATGATGGGGGATAATGTTAATCTTATCGCCTTCGATTTCGTCGCCAGCTCGGACATCGTCGACATTTGCCAACAGATCAATTTCGAACGATCCCGGAAATCGTAGCTTATCAACTCTACGTAGATACTTATGTAAGATCGCATACTGCTACGCCAGTCGACGATAGATGTTTAATTACATATTTTGTTGTCCTGTGTAAATTGTTGTAGGGACACGCTATTCTGATTTATCCAGCAAACATTATTTGCTCTCACTAGACTTAAGCCTATTCAGACGTAGTGAAAATAGAATGGGTCCTTATAACAGACGTAATCCATTGTTTTAACGACCACTTTTAATGCTGTCACAGTTTCGTTTTCTAGACAGTAGTCAATACTCATTTACACAAAAAATGTCACCTTACAGATATCTTGCCTCAAGTAAGGGCGGACTTATATTAAATTTATTGAAATGAGTGAGGGATCACCCTCTACTGACCTTTGCATGAAACGAAAACTATTCGTCCAACAGATAGAGGTGCCTGCAACCTTACTGGTAAAATCGTTAACGAAATACGTTGCATGTAGGCAAATTAGTCTATAAAAAAATCTCCTCCCGCTGTATTTTTCTGTACTTGGTACTTTCAGTAGCGGGAATCGAGTGGTTATCCTCACTTGACAGGGGCTCATTATGAACGATTTAGTATAAACTCATGTATTGCTAGATATGTCTTTGGAACTATAAGGTGTCTACAAAAGTAGCAATAATACCTTTCAAGCTAAAAACAAATTTAATGAGTGCACGGTTAGAAGCTGCAATAGAATGAACCACGCAGGCTCAGTAGAACTCATGCTTCCAAACGCTGAAGCTAAACGTTACGTTGTACTTTGTCCAGCTCAAATTGCAACTACTTTACTACTTGACACTGAGAAGACATATTTCCTGTGACACTGTCTGCTGGTGTGAGCAACTTACGTTTCCAGAACAGTTTTTTTTTTACTTTAAGCATTAGTATGAATTTTTCGCGTTACGACGTTTCTGGGTTTAAAATTTTCCCATATAACCGAATATACTTACAATCAAAATCTGTTTTACCATCTTTGTGATTATTCGGTCGGCGCATAAATTTTACTCGCGTTATATAAGGAAAGACAGGTCGGGTATCCTGTCTGAGAAAAGCAAAAAATTGATAGCTCTTCGGGGTCCTACGCTTCCCCGTATGATCATCCATTTGAGTTATTTCAAACACAGTGTCCTAGGCCTTATGTAAATGTTCATTAAGTGCTTATTGAAATAGCTAATAACTTGTCTGTAACTAAGTAACTATCTATAAGGACGACAATGTCTAGATAATATGCACCATTTGTTAGCTGTGTTTAATGCACTTAAGCTGAAGTCACATAAACACACAAAAATATAATACAATATAATCATTATATACAATATTTACATATATTACAATAATTATTACTTTTAATAAAGAATGATTTTAGTAGTAAATAAATTTTGCGGCTATTGTTATTTGACTATGTAACTAGAAGCCAATGTTAATTTACATGACTATATAATAGAGGAAATTGTTATAAATGGCAAAGATACGTTCGATACGTTACAATAAGTTCACAATAGAGCCGAGATCTCAAAAGCGTTCGTCCAATCTATCTAAAAATATATATATATTTTTTTTGTCTGGTTGCCTGCCTATGCGATGCATACCTATCAATTCAGTTGAAGTTCGAGCTATAAATTATATATACCGTTAAAAGGTCCATTCAGTCTGTAAATATATTCCTCATTTAAGTGTTCCACTGGCCGGTTTTCACCCTAGTGTCTCATAGCTGTACCATTCTGGGCTCTTTTGGACTTCTCCACTGCAGAAAGTTGAAGCCGCGCAGCCTCCAATCTGTTCCCTACTTCTTCATGCAACTTCCGTGCAATTTAACAATCGTTACGCGAGGTATATCGGAGAAAACTCGACTGCGGTGTAATGTTAGCTGCGTATTCCTAATTGGCCGCTTTTCAATGGTACGAAGCTTCCCATGCGTTACCCTGTTCGTTCATAATCGAAAGAAAAAATTATGTTTATGAGTATGTACAAGACGTCACTGTAACAGAGCTCTTATTATCCCGCTGTGAATCACGCATGGTATCCGCCAGCGATAAATAGTAACTAAACAAAAAAAAGAAAAGAAAGGTTGAGAGAAAAACACACACACACACACACATATATATATATATATATATATATACATGAAGATCTGCCTAGATGCTTTCTAGTTGTTGCTAATGCTGCTGCTGTTGTTATTACTTTAATCCTTATCTTTGTCGGTCGGCCGGGCGGTGCGTGCCAAGCAGCGTACTTTGCTTGTGTCGTACGACGCGCGCGCCGGTGTCCACAGCGCCTCCAGAACTCCGTTCATGAACGTGTTAAGCGGAAATCTTTCCTACAGAGTAGCAAATCTGTTCTATCCGTTAGTACCGTTCCCGCTTCAAAAGCATATTATAACAGTGCGTCCGTCAGCTCTGTTTTAACCTATTGGAATAAATCATTTACTAATGCCTGTGTAAGTGCGCTGGTGACGTGTACGATGAACGTGTACCGGCTCAATTTTTACTCCCTCTAATGATTCAATGTTCGCGGTAGATGACTGTATGCACACGTAACGAGTTTATTGTGATCTATTGTGATCCGATGATCCGGATGTAGAGAAGTCAAAATCAGTACTTAGACGCTGCTCACAAACGTGTTCTTGATTTCGATATTTCCATGTTGAGTTTGGCGTCGCGTCTTGGCAAAATTTTGTACAAAATGGGTCAGTTAATTTTTATATCTTCATGATTCGTTTGAAGATCCTAATAGCTTCTCTCAGAGTTCGAAATTTAACAGTGACGGTTAAAGGCTTCTTTGAAAAAGTATTCAAAGTAACTGTGTTCACAAGATATGCATTGTCAAGCCATTCTTAAAAGCTCACCAAATCATCTTCATGACGGTGGTATAGTGCAGATTTATAATTTGACACAAATCGCTGAACAGATAATCAGTGTTTGCACCCATTGTCCAATGCGCTGCCAAATGAAATTAGAGCAAAGTGATTTATGTTTGTATTTAAACGTTCCATTTGTTGGAGAACACATAGCTTTACGGCAATCAATTGATCACTAATATGATGATTGTCACGTGAACAAGCAAGCTCTACACGTAATTTTTTCTGCTATATGATGTTTTTTAAGCGGCATGTCATACTAGGTACTAAATAGAATTTCATAGAATTTTCATAGAATTGAAAGAACACAATATATTCCTTAAAGGCCCTCTGCGAGCTACAGTAGTGCTATATTCACGAATAAAAGGGGGTTGACGCTAGTAACGCATTTGGCTAGTTACTCTGTGATCATTTGCGCGAACTAATGACTCTGTTCTCTGTTGACATAGGTTGTTTGCTATGTAGTAATCTTAAAAAAAAAATGCTGTTTCAATAATTTCCGATTAATCGAGTGTTATATTGTACTCCGTCAAATCTCTAAAATACTATCGACCCTGTAGAAAATACTTTTTGGAAAGACCTTGAAAGGAAATCAATTGACGAATATTCCACTGCAACATGCTTCGGCTTTCAGCTAAGCCACTTTAAGCTCGTCTCTTCTACAAATGGCACATCATCCTAAAAACTAAAAAACTCTTACAGTTGTTTTTAAGTTTTTCATCAAAACTAAGCAAACTGTAGCTCGATGTTGAATATAAAATAAATAATTCTCTTACAAAGTTCAAACGATTTGGTCTCTTGCCACTCGACTCCAAAACCCGTACCTCTCCTTCGCCGTTGAGATCATCTATTATTATTATTATTATTAATTCTAATCCCCTGCGAGCTCGTTTACAATGCTTTATGAACACATCGATGCTATTACAATATCCTACTAGAGCTTACTATTTATAAAAGAGTGACCAACGCCCGTTCGATAACTGCTTACCGTTTACAGCGTACGCGGTGCCTTTCTCCCGTTACTCGGTGCTGTGTTTCGCAGTGTCCTTCTCTACGACGACCCGAAGATTTGTGCGGCATTGTCAAACGAAATAAGAGACTTTTGTTGTTGTTGTTGTTCAACGGCCCGCGAGGGTGGCTCATAGCTTCCTGGTGCGTTCAGGTATGTCTTTCCTGTTGTGCTTAGAATCACTCCAACGCGCAGGTTATCGGTTAGCGTTTAACGAGTCAAGGAATTCATGGCTGTATTCTGCTTCCTTCTCTTTTCTTTTGCTTCATCTTCCTTCCTCGAAGTCGCTCGCTTGAGTCCGGTTTCAGCATGTACCCGCTCGATAACCGCTAGCAGCATCAAAAACAACAAAAGCTGCCGCTTGAACAGCGGCTAGTGTCAACGGCAGCAGCTGTCCCGCAAATCAAAGAGCCTTTCTGCCATCCGTAGGCCGTACAACCGTTATTAATCAGGCCGCCCTTGAAATTACTTTGTACTACTCACTCCCATTATAACCGGCGCTGCCAGCTGTAGTGGTCGCGTTGATAGTAAATTGTACCACAGTTGTGTTGGTGGTCCGGTAATGCAGATGCTGTTGGCCTGTTTCGTTTGCTCTCACTTTTCATCTCTCCCCGTCGAGATTCGTTTGGGTGAAGCGTATTATTTACGATGGCACCGCAGCGTTTGCGGCAGTCGCTTGTTAAGTGGACGTCGTCGTCGCTGAGACATCGCCGTCGCCGGCCAAGCCAATAACGGAGCACCAACAAGCAGGACCGGAGCAACGAGATGGTGCGCAACGTTGTGAGAGCAGTCGAATGTGCTGCTGCCAGCTCGCGCACGAGACGTCCAGCGTATCGAAAGAAGTTAGGAAGGAGTAACCCAGTGCGAAGGAGCGCTGTTGCTGTTCGCAGCTATAGAAAAGGCGGTCGTGATTCACCAGCTAACGATAAGTGGCAACAACCGTAGGGATTGAACTGCGTCGAAGTTCGGCGAAGAGTAGCGAAACTAACAAATCTACGTAAAAAGATAGATTCCAATGAGATAACACACGAGCTCAAGAGAGGGTGAGACGTTGCGTGTACACGTTCGCCCAGTTCGCTGCTTTCTCGAATAGATGGGAGGGGTTGCAACCACCCTGTCAGGACTTGCAATCGCTAACGCAAACTGTTGCTTTGCCGAAGACGATAAAAACAACAATAACACCATACATACACATATACTTCGGCGCGGCTGCTGTAATCAGCGTCGCCGCGCCCCACACCAATATGTAACATTGAATAGGCAACAAGAAACCCGTTTTAATCGCAACTACGCCATGTCTATTCCGTTTCGTTCTCTTCCAGCACATCACAGCAACGCGACGCAGTGCGGTACGTCCTGAGAAGCGCCGACAGCATCAGCGGTATCGACGATATCGTGTTGCGATGCATCAACACCCAATAGCAAACGCTGCGGCCGCTCGCAGCTCTGCTCCACAGCACTATAAACGACGACGACAACAACAACAACAACAACGCTCTGCTGTGCGTAATTACTCCTGTAGCGCACTGACGGCTGAACGGAATTAGCGATGGCGGCGGCAGCAGTAGTCGATAGAGCAAGAGGTCGACCGACCTATTGGATAACTCTACCGGGCCTCGACGACACAGCGCACCAGGGCGGCATCTGCTGTTGCCGTTGAGTGAGTTGGTCAGCCGAAGCGGAGTAGCATTGCGTCGAGTGGAACGCCACGGCTCCTCCTTCTTCGCTCACCGTGCGTCATGTGGAGGCATCGTGTCATGATACCTCTAAATACCTATGAACGGTGACTGTCGACGGCGGCGGCAACAGCAGCTGCTGCTGCTGCTGCTGCTGCTAAAACATTACTGAAACAGCCCTGATGGTATTCATCGTTGTGCGTGTGCCCGATGCTGTTTTATTCGATCTGATTCTATCCCGTCCGAAACGTGTCGACGTGCACTTTTTGGACGACTTTTATGCACCGAGTGCCCCGGCTTCTCTGCTTCTTCTGGAGACGCTTACGCTTCTTGTCTGTGAAAGCACGCAAGGCTATTTACATGCGCTTCTAAACGAGGATGCTGGTCTCAGGCCAGAGGTTCATCTGAAAGCTTAGCAACCGTCTATTAACGGTGCAGTTCCGTCGTGATAACGTGATGCCCGCTAGATTTGAGGATACGCGAGGTGGGCAAGATTCGAAATCGCGCGTAGACAAAAATCGGACTTCGTTTTGCGCAGCGAAAGTCGACGCGCCATCGTCTCAAGTGACGCTTAATTTCTAGGATACAGCAATACCTGTCTCATCGCGTGCGTTCATGTATAGTGTGTGCAGGTGAGCTCGCCGCCGTTACCGGCTAGTATGGCGAGTTGACAGAACAGCCTGTACGACGTGGGGATCCGTTTTTTTCTTACGTTCCCAGCGCACTTGTCGATCCTGCAGACAAATCACTTCGTTTACTGCGTTGGCCGTTAGGTTGAACATTGGGCCTCACTGTTATTACTGCTGCATTTTTACGCTTATGGATTTCTACTGCTCACTGTGATAGTGCTATACATATAGAATGGTTTATGTGCAGATTGCCGTTTTAATTAATGCTTCTATTTTTAACACATATTTAGCACTAAAATGCTCCTATTACCATTATTATTAATTATTCGATTATCGCAAGCTGATATACTTATCAACGCAAGAGGCTTTTAAAGTACGTCGGCCACCTATCACGCAACCATAGCGGCCTATGCATTAATCACGTTTGCGACTACTCCGTGCGTATGTACAACACGGTCCCGTTCGAGTATCTGTTGACTTGTATATATTGCATTATGTTAATGTCGTTCAAACGAATTACATTGAGATCCATATGTCCGTTTCTTACTACAGCTCGGCCGGATTAGTGACGATGTTTCCATGAATTCGATACTGTTTACCCATTTGCCTTCCAGCCATGTCGATTACGCGAGTGCATCTTATCTACGCAGAGCAAAGGTACCTGAAATTTATCTTAACTTGTTGTTGTTTCTACATATATCTGTTACGAGGGTGCTCCCTGGTATGGTGCCGGAACAGTATTATTTGCGTTCTTTTTTTGTGTCTTTCGCGCACTCCATAGGACATTTAGCGTTACCACTATTGCAGCGTCATGTCATCGTCGTTGTTGCTGTTGTCGCTGTTGCTGATGTGTTTGTTGTTGATGTTATTGCCTCGAGTTATCTGGATGTTTTCTTGCAGAGTCGGGTGACTTTCACGGTAATCTGCGTTCTCGCTGACCGCCGTAAAGGATGGCTAGGGAGTCTGACACCGTTCCATAAACGAGCGTGCGATGTCCGATAAAAAAATACACGAATCACGTCATAACGAAACGGAAAAAAGGCGTCAGAGAGAAGAGAGAGGTGGCCCACAACGGGACAAATTTGAAAAGTGTCCTTTTTCTCTTTGAAATACGACGGCTGGATAACCTGACCGTGCGTGCTGCACATCCCCATCTCAGTGCTGAGATAGTGGTCAAGCGGCGTATGTGCGTTCTTGGGCTGTTGTGTCACCCCGACTTAGCTGATGTTTTGACGCACAGTTATTATATCGACGCTCCTATTATTATCATGATCGTCCGCGATGGGAGTCGATTGCGCTTTTTCATTCATGGAATACGTTGCATTTTGACTTTCTAATGTCTGCTGTTTAGTTATTAAAGTTAATAAAACGCAAGTGGTCGTATCCATTTAATGGCTCATTTGTCCTTTTCTTTGGTATGTATGGCGATATAACTGTATGTCTACGCATATGCGCGTAAGACCATGTACTTGTAACGACCACGATACCGTTGATGATTCATCTATCTTTCGTTTCTTTCCGTCTCATTCAATCAACACGGTCATGATGAGAAGTTTAGAATATATCCGTAGATGTTAATGGCAATATGTCATCTATAGAAATCAACCCTTCCGCTACCGCCAACTTTACTTTATCAATTCTGTTACCTCCCAATAAATACGAATATAACAATGAAAATACATGATAACACGGTGCATTCTTGTATTCCCTTCTTGGCTAGTTGTCCCGAATTCTCCGTTTAACTCATTATCTGTCGATTCATTGATCTGGAAGGCTAATGTTCTGTTCCACAGGCAAACTAATTTCGTAAACTTATTTATACGTTTAGTTGTTGTTGTTAAGTGTGGTGGTCACTATCTGGTTTTTATGCATCTCCTTTTTGCAGATCCGATGCCCACTTCCAGTAGCAGCAGTAACGACAAAAATGCTCCTGGCAGCAGTAGCAGCATGGCTAATAACAACAGCATCAGCAATAGCGGAACTTGCGGAGCTGTACTTCGTGATAGCAACAACGGAAACGGCAGCGGTACCGCCAGCAGTAGCAACAACACAAATACGGGTAGTGCCTTAACTTCCGGAGGTTTTGTCGGAGCGACGAGAAGTGGAAATTCGATTGTCGGCAGTAATGGGGGCAATATCATCAACATTGACAACACCAACACAGGCAACAACACCAGTCGCAGCACAAATAGCCCAAGCAGTCATTATTGGGGCAATGGCGCGTTTATAGTTCAACACAAATTCACCCGTGCCAAAAGCTACTACATCGACGATGAAGGCAGACCGAAAGCTGACCCGAAACAGCTGCGGTGGAGTGCAAGCGATCCGGAGGTACGTAGCTAAAACCCGCCTACACAGAAGAAGAGCGTAACGATACGTTTCTTCATTAGCTCAGAATGTAATGCAGTTTGTTAGAGTTACAGGTACAGGTACACACGAGTACATAAACCCAACATACATTGTGATGTCTACACAGGTGTTCGTTCCCTTTATTACATAATGGGGAATTTTGCGCGATCTCATGTTTAGTTGCGCCTACCGGCTCTCCTTCTCCCCCTATGAATGCGGACACTCGTTAATAAACACTATAGACATGATTTAATACAGTCAAACGTTTCAATTCTAATTAGCCATTCACTAGAAGGTCGAGCATCGAAAATCTTCATTTTACTATAATGATGACATTAAAACAGCTCTGTAATGCAGTGTCTTACAGAAGGTTTACGATTTTTCTGCGTTAGGTAATGGAGCTGGTCACCGGCTCAGGCGTCTATATCAAGCTGTTCGATCTCGTAAATGTCTACTATCGAACAAAGAACGCGATATCGGCCGCACGTCGACTCTTGGTCTGCGTCTTCAACGACCAAACACTGATCGAACGAAGCGTAAAGGGTTCGCCAGATCGGCCTGGACTTTGTCCTATCACTCATCAGGCTATTTTAGGTACCGTCATCTACACAAAACCAGATACTAGTCAGTGAGAATTAGGGTATACTTTGACAGTGTCTTCTAATTTAGCGGTGTTTGGATTTCTTACTGGAGCATAATAGGGAAAAAATTGTGTCACTTAAATAAAAAGTCAAGCAATTTCGCATTGCGCTTGCTTCGAAGAATCTGTATTACTTTGCCAATAATTGAACAGTAACATTGGCGACTTAAAATCTACTTGAAATAAGTTAACGAATTTATGATACGAAATATAATGATACCGCACTATGAGCACAATAATAAGTCGCGCTGGTCAAGCAGTACAGAAGCAGGCAATTAACTGGGCTGACTGGAAACAAAATTTATAAAATGAAGTAGTAATAATTTATTTTGTTTTTTTTTTTCGATTGTAGACTGCGTAGAAATGATTAGCCAATGCAAACCTCCGGATTGGGCCGCAGATGAGACGATGATCAACCGATCGCTGATAGTGCGCTTATGTGAACTTCGCTCAAAAAGAACGGCCAAAATCTATGTAACATCACAGCCGAACCCGACTGCACATCCCGGTCCCTTCCCCGAAAGTTATTTAAGTTAAGATATCGAGCAATTCACTTCTATAGGACCGTTCAAAGATTACGCAAGTTTGTTCAGCAGCACATGACCAGGAACATTTCAATAGTACCACTATTACTAGATTGGATTAAGTTAAGGATAGATTCAAATACAAGTTAATCTGAGGTCGGGATTGAGACGACGTACATTTACTGGTGCGAGACAAGATTCGATATCAATGTATATTATTTCGTACAGATACATATGTAACTCTGATAAGAACCGCAATACATAATGTAGGACATTACTTTTGCCATTCTCGACATGCAAGACCTTTCAGGCAACCTTTTACTGATTTCGTTATAAGCACAAGAAAGTTACGAATAAGAAAATGGAGTAGAGTACGAGTAGCGGTTGTGGACTTTATCGGCACAGAAATAGATTACATTTGGCGGCTCTTTCAAAACAACCCATTTTAGTTCTCTATAAGAATCTAAATTGAACTTATACCCTTAGCTTATTCAAGCAGCGCGGCTTTGGTGGATAACTGTTTGGTAGCAAAAAAAAAACTTAAAAGCGTCTGACGACCGTACAATAACGCCAAATGTGAGCGATTATAGAATGCTATATAGGCGAAATCCAGTCGAAGACATTTGTCAAATTCGGTAAGGACCAGTAGGTAGAATAGCACTGACTAAACGATAGACACTCAGCATTAGATCGGAAATCTTGCATTGAGTCTATGTAAGCTAAATATATAGATTTCGATATTGTCATGTAGATGCCGCACACATATTCACCACTGTGCAATGAACGAAGTCCTTGGGTAGCTAAACTATTGTAACCCAAATCGATCGAGGATGCAGTTTATGGATTAACTAGCCAATAGAAAACCATTTCGTTTTATTAAAAATACATTATTATAATTAGTGTTGTTAATCATTTTTAGTGAAGCGATGTGGCGCGTGGGTGTTTTGCGGCTTATTTACTTTTCGGTAGATTAAGGCCCCGAACATAGTTTAAATAAACCAAACCCATTTACGTGATGGAAGATGGAATACAAATCTAGTATTTTGCTTCGTTATTCTCCCCTCACTGCAAGTGTGCCAGTGATTTTTCTCTTCCATTGTTGATGTGCGAAAGGGTATGCCACGATTAGTTAGAGCTGTGCTACACAGGGTGAGGCGAAAGTTGGCTTACGGTGTAAAAAGGCATGAATAAGCAATAAAGTAAAAATGTCAAGCGTCTAATTTCGAATATTGCAGACTTGGAGTTTAGCAGCATCCGTTTCAACCTGAGGCCTATCTTTTCTTGCCCCTAGAAATCTTAATTCTTCCTAGTTCTCGACTTACGTTATTCCCCACCGTAAACCGATTTCTGCCCCATCTTGTACAGGAAAAAGCAAATCGTTTTGACCACGGCGGTAAACTGCGAAATAAGCAAAGAGGTACGGCGATGCTCTAAGTATCTTTGTATCTATAAAAGACTGCGAAGAAAACACTTGTACCCTAGGACAATAATGTCAATTGTACCAACTTGTAAATTTTATATTTACCCTTGTGTCGAAAATTCTTATTATTGCAGTTAATACGACGTCGTCGGACTAATAAATCATTTTAAAAACGCATTGTAGACTACGCTACTCTTCTGTTCCGAGCAGTTTCGCTTCCGAATCATTCATGCAACTCCTATCGAAATGTTTTTCAAAGTTCTCATTCATTGTCATCATGGTTTGCGGCCGTTGAAGGCACGAAAAGCCAAAGAGCAGTTCGCGCGCATTTGCAGTACGCACACTACATTCTGTATAATTGTTACGAGTTTCAACAAGAGGCAACTTGTTATATATATATATATATATATATATATACATATATATATATATATATATACATATATATATATATATATATAAACATCTATTCTTTTAATTGCTATGTATCAACAACCAAAGCCTTCAGCAGTTCTGCATTCACATTGACAACATTTACTATAGGAGCTATTACGCCAAAGTGAGCAAATTTTGTTTGTTTTTTTTTTTTTTTTTTTTTCGATATTATGCATTAACGTTTGTTGATCACCGATCGATTCGAATCTAGTCAAAATCAATCCAATTTCAATCGCAATGAAAGTCAATTCTGCAGTTGCATGGCGGCACAATTATACTCAATATTCCATATCTGTCATGCATTACTTTTATAATAATTGAAGCGTCGACCATTTCTTTTTTATTTCAGTGTTGAATCGGGTCTCGCTTCGTTATAAACGTTACTTATACATTGCTCTGTAATAATTATTTATATTAAAACTGCTATCAGCTGTAACGTGGAACCGAGTGTGTATGACATGAACAAAGATTCAAGGGAAATTGTGTGCCATATCCGCGGTAAAATGTATAATGAAGCAAATTCATTCCGAGTGGTTTTTCTACATAGATATTACAAATACGCATCATAAAGGTTTTATAAAAAA